ATGAGAAAGGGAGATCACTGCTAAATTCCAGAAAAAGTCCTTGCACATGAATAATTCAGACAGTTCAGCCTGATGAGAAGAGGAGCTCAGTCTAAATCTTAAGTCTAAACACTTTTTGAAACCCTGATAGTGTTGTGTTTAGAAGCTAGATATACCAGTGTGAGGGGATAGCAAATCTCAGAATTTGTTTAAAAAAAAAAAAAAATAGCAGATGGCAACCTGTTAAAGAGTAATAGTTTCAACTGTATATTGTGCCTTTCCTTCCTCTATTTGTTTTTTCCTGTGTCTGCCACAGTAAAGGAAGCTGTAACAAGGCCCATTTATCTCATTAGAGTTTTGTTTACAATTCAGGTTTGGCGTGGATATATCCAGCGCAAGAAAACAGAGAAAATGAGAGAAGAGGAAATGATGTTTCTGGGGATGGTAAGCAGTGCTGCCTAGAGAATATAAAATGCCACACTGTTTGTTCTTCAGACTTTTGTAATTTAGCAGAAGATGAGAAATTAATTTCTAAGATTCTTCCTATTTTAAAAAGAGTCTCTAAGGAATACAGAACTAAACTGAAATGATAGATGGCACAGAAGTAGCACAGTTTATCTTATGCTGCATGCTTTTGTGCTATATATACATAGTCCAATGCAGAATTTGCCCCAGGTTCTAAGGAATTTGACCCAGGCATGACAGAGCAAGGAAATTTTATTAATCAATTTTTAATTCATAATTCTAAGACACCTGAGCTGCCTTATTCCTGAAGTAGAATTAAAGCAGCAAAGTCATCTTCTCCCACCCCTTTGCAAGCCAGTGTATATGTATGTCAAGAGTAGGGAAAAAGAACATTAAAAGTGCCATATTAATATATCAATATTTCCATAAGTCCATATGGAAATAAACAAAATATTCCTCACGTCATACTGCAAAAGTACAGGGAAATGAACAGCTGTCCATGGTCAGTTAGATTGTGTGGGGTGAAAGAAAAAAATGAAAGCATCCCCTCCTCTTCCTCCCACAATCGGAGAAGGCGCATCTCCTCCTCCCACCAACATCTTCCTTCCTAGCAAGTACCTGAGAAAGAGGATAAAATTTTTACAGTTGACATTTTCTTTGGCCACCACCAATCCTTTGGGTGCCTTCATTAGGCGCTAATGGGTGTCAAGCCTCACAGCTCTCCAACTCCAGCTACAGTAGCACAGCCCTTGTACCAAGTTCTAGCAAAGCTGCTTCACAGCACCACATTACAGAAACATTCGTCACTGCTCTATGTTTGGTAGGTTTATTTATGCCTCCATGTTCTACAATTCTTAAATCATTAACTTATAAACTAATAATTTAATTTTGAATTTCTGCTTCTCCCAGACAATTTGGATTATCTTCTTACCCAGCAATGGAATTGTCCTTAGCTACGTTATAGGTTTATGAAAACTAATTGTGCCTATAGCATACATCTGACAAACATGTATCATCAGTTAAGAATGACCTTAAAATCTTATCTTTAGGAAGTCACATGTACATTTACCAAAGTTTTGCCATGTTAAATACAGATAACACCTTATGGATTATTGTCTTTAATATCTGCTGGTCATTAACAGTAAACGTGGCCAGCGTAGCTAAACAGAGCTTTGGGTACCGATTCTGCCTCTGTTTAAGACAAAGAAAACTCCCAAAGATTTTAACTAGTGCGGACCTAAAATGGTGAATATTTGGAATGTACTGAAAATGAATTAGAAATTATACCTTATGCAAAACAAGGGATCAAGTCAAATCCCTATCAAATCCCATGACAGTTTCTTCTTAAAACTAGAGTCTTAGGAAGGAAATCTAAGTCTGGTATCAGTTACTGGAAGGTTCACACCAAGTACTCTTTTCATGGTGGCTGATGGTAGGAGTAACTGATAACTAGGACGTAAATAGCCTAGTTTATGGGGAGGAAATCTATATGATCACAGGGATGAAGGGAATTAAAACCAAACACATACAGTGTATTCGTTTCCTGACCTCCATTTAGGAGCAAGAGAATTGATGTTTGCAACTCTGCACTCAGACTCATTACTCTTTATCAAGTATATAATCAAAGGATGTGGGGAAAAAATGGATACCTCTAAATAAAAAAAAAAAATCTGTTCATCTTTCCAGTGTTTTCATATTCCCCATCTGTGTTTCCCTTTTACTTTTCATGCCGCATTCCCTTCCGTGGTCTCCAAAGGAAGCGAGTGGCAAGCAGGCATTGGTTCACACTGATAGATCAGCAGTGAGCTCCAAAGGTCAAGTCCCTTTGATGTATGATCACGTCAGCCCTCTAAAAAATGACCACAGATCTTCATGTGTAAATATGTTGAATTTGCTTTTCTAATGCTGCACGACTTAGATAAATTAGAAGACCTAGCCATCCATTACTCCAAGTCCATCCCAAAGGAGACTTGACTTTTACTGCAATAAATATAATTTCTCTTATGATTATAGCTATTTTTAAAATGTCTGTTATTTTCATATAAAGACTGCTTTGCAAAAAGAGCTAGTCCATTTGAAATTCTGAATAATGATTTTTTTAAAAAAAATTCAGTTCTGTTGGCCTAAAAAATATGGAAATACGTGGAACAAAGACCAGGAATTGTCCAGTCTTTTACTTAATTCAGTATTATTTTCCTTACTGTCTACTTACTTCAGAAAAATTTATGTATCTTTTCTGGAATTTGATTCTGTTTCATCTTTTGCTTGATGACAGAGTAGAAGCCTATGTTCCAGAGATTTTTCTTGGCTCAAAAGTAAAGGCTCATTATTATTATTATTTATTAAAGCTTAATTGCAGAAACAGCATGATTCCCTCAGCACATGTTTTTCTAAATCTCCGATAAATCACAACTTGCAATACCGGTTTAATTTGTAAAGAGAAGCAAGCCTCACTAAGAGCACATATATCTTGATAACTGTATCCTGACCTGTTCCCTGATCTTCCTCGCATTGCTGCCACAGTGCTGTTGACTACCAGCTCCAGCATGACCCCCATAACCAACGTTCTGGGCGTAGGTCTGTGTTTAAGCCACACCGACCACACTGATGTTGCAAAAAAACACATTAAATTGTCTTGCAAACATGCATGCACTGTCCAAACAAACCTGTATTTCCTGGCTCTGACTATTTTACCATTACAGCCTAATTATAACGTACCATTTTTCCAGTTTTTAGACCGGTGCATAATTCCACTTGTCTGTTTCTGGCATTTGTAAGTTCCCTGTCATTAAACACCACAGAGGTTGCTATAATTGTTTCATTTTGCTACAGTGCAAACTAGCTATCAGCCTGGTGTAACTGGATGTGTGAACTGTTTTTTGGCAGCTGCTTTGTCTCGGGGTGGTGCAAAACAGCCCAAGCCTAATAATGGACCTACACTCAGCGCTCTGGCTAACAGACTCTCCTAACAGGGTAGACCCTGCAGGAAGTTATACTTACAATCTCAGAACACAGGCTACCGGAAAGAGGAAAAGCTGCTTTTAACATAAAATGTTAGGATAAACAGTTTGCGATCAGGCTGATTTATGGAAGGGTAGGCGGAGCCTAGGAACAAGGAATACAAAAAGACAAGACAAAATCCATCCCAATTTAGGGGCTCAGCCTACCGTTGCAACTTTGAGCCAGGAGTACTCCGAAGGCCTGGACATCCCCTTGCTCATGTTTTCACTTAACGAGCACAAGTAATCAATCCCATTGGAGCCAAGCGCTCTACATGCTTAAACAATTTATAGGACCGAGCCCTGCATGCTTTGGACACGCATACACATAAACACCTTCTTGTCTCACAGATACACCTATTGATTTACAGTTACACAGCTCTGACGCTGCTCTATGCCGTAATTTCAGGCCTTACCAAAGAGTTAGTGGCACAATACATGCTGGTCTGTGATTTTCTTACATAGTATTTCCACCATTCTTCCTTCTTCTATATCCTTTTCACATGAAAGGATCTACGTGGTCTTAAATAAAAACACTGTTCTCCCCTTCTTACCTCTTTTAAACATACCCTAATTTAGGCATGTTGTCTTGGATAATGCTTTTATTTATGTCTGAGAAAATAGCCTGCCAAACATTCCTTGTTCTTTGAATTCCTGATAAATATAATTCATTTCATCCAGTCAGAAAAAAAATTAGCATTTCCCAGAATAGCCTTCTGTATAAACATTAGACTATGACTAAATAAACATTATATAGGATTTAACAAATGGCAAACTCCATAAGTAAGTGAAATTTAAAATATTTCTTCAGCTCTTGAAAGTGGGCAGTTACAGTAGTGGTACACACCAGGCCTGTTTTTATCAAGCGTAAGATTAAAGTGACTTTCGTTTTACTTGCAACCTAGATGACATTTAAATGTCGGCACAAAGTTGTATGTTATTTCACCAGGCGTACATATACATCTAAACAGTGATAACTGATCTGTCCTGTTTTCAATAGAAATTTTAAACCTGCTTATTTTTGAAATAGAAAGATGGTGGGAAGCAAGAAGCCCGCTAGATAATTTGGCTTTCATTGGATGGAGTCACACTAACAATGAAATCACTGCCTTTCAGAGTCCAAAACATACTTGCCATTTTGAGTAGAAGTTTGACAGCATGCCCAGGTATAATATTGGAAATAAACATAACCAAAGTTAAATAAACTTATATGGTCATGAATATAAATGTTTTCTCCACTTTAGGTTTTCTTTCATCTTATTAAAAAGTGTTGCATGCCAATATTGTTATATATGTATAAAATATAAATCTATAAAACAGCCGTTTTCAATATTTTTCTAACAAGGCCTCCTACTACAAATGCTTTGTTTGAATGCATATGACAATTACTTTAATTGGCAAAGCCATTGAAGTGAATCATATAGTAGGGAAGCTTTAATGAATGCAATATATTTTGTTTAGTTGTTCCTTTTTTGTGCCTAATTTAGGAATTCAGCCATATAATTGATATGGCTATCCCCATTTGTGTACCATGGAACCTATACGAATACAATCTTCATAAGACAAGAGACGTCTTTAAAATACATTCTTCCTGCAGCCAGACAAAATACGTTGAGGAAATGAGAAAGCAAGAACGTAGCTAACTCCAATACCAAAATTTTAAAGAGAATTTGGATCACCATTTAAAAATCAGTAGAATAACAATCATGAGTAAAGAACAGGACCTCAGTTGCTTAGGCGGTAAACTCCTTTAGTCTACTCATAAGGAGTTACTTGTCTGTGTAGTCCAAATGTACAAAAATCTCACTTTCGCTACTAGTGAAAATGAATGACCATTAAAAATACTTACTTTGCTTAGGAAGTAAAGCCCTTCAAGAGAAGCAAACTCTTCTACTCTTCTAGCAAACTATACTACTTCTGAAAATGAGCAATCCCCAGCAAAATGCTACATAACTACTACATCTATCAAAAGATTACAAC